TCAGGACTGTAGCGTGGAGCAATCGTAGTTGGAACAACAAAGCGAATCGTGTTACCATTTTGAATAAGATCGAGTTCAGAAACGTAAGAGATTGAAATATGACACTCTTTTCCAGGCGGTATGGCACCCACATTGATGATAAAAGTGTCTTGTGACTTGTCATCTTGTTCGAGTAAATAGGCACCATGGCCTTGCCGAAGAGTACTATTGTATTCTTTCTGAGCCTTCTCTTTTTCTTTCAATTGAGCAATAAATTCTCAATCATCGATGCGTGCTATGAAACTGTAGACAGCTGCTTGTTCTTCAATAGGAAAACAGTAAACTGCTTCAATTGGTGTTGCCTCATCATTACGAAATACTTGATTGATAGTTACATCGGCGGCGAAAGATCGTATAGTTGCATCGACACTCACTTGCTTGAGTGGCACGTAATTTTGCAGTTGTTGGCGATTGTCGATACAATTCGAGCGAGTTTTAATCCGGAGCATATTAAAAAAACTATGCGCTCGTTTGTGTAACTTTCACCAGTTTAAAAAGCAAAGCATGATAAGGAAAACATGTGACCAACACAGTAAATAAATGTTAATACAGAGGGAAAAGAACATGTGTGACTCATAGAAGGAAAAAAGTGATGACACATCGAGAAGAGACATGACTAAACGTTTACGAATAGTTATACAATACTGAATGATTAGGAAAACAATTGAATATGTACAAATGATTACTCAATTGGGTAAAAGCAAGGAACACTGACAAAATACAATCTCTAATAAACCTATTACTATGAAATCCTGTATGACTAAACCCATAAATTTTGAAAGATATATTTTTCGGCCAGTATCAATATTTTCAATAATAATTATGATGATGTTCCAGTACAGCATATTTGAGTGACGATAAACATTATGATATTCCAGTTTGACTCTTAAGCTAAACTTTTTCAATCAAACTTGAATTATAGCATAATATGAATTAACATGGCAAAGAGCTACAGCCAATCAGCTCATATGAATCGACTAATGGAGACAGATTCATCATCAAGCATTGTTTGGTAGATTCGAACGATGGCCAAATTGAAAAGGTATCAGTGGGTGTGGGTATCTATACCAAGCATGACATCCACACTCACACCCGTTTTCATGAAGATGTAGATAATTATCTTGAGTCGAAAGGTCTAACAATAATCCCCCATCCACCTAATTCTGCACTCATGTGTAAAGAATCAGGATGATTATTTTAAACATTTGATTTAATAAAAAAGTGATAAAATTCCTTAAAAAAATTTTTTTCTGAATCAATTACTATTTTCGCTATGTTTTGAATATTATAATATCACTCGACGACTTATGAAATATAGTAGAATTATTGAGACCGACTTGGGCTATCAGAATGTATAGAAAAAAAATTTCTCAAGCCTTCTGCAAAATGTAATAGGGTCCGCGTCAGTACTTTTAGTATACCCTAAGTACTTTCCGAATTTTTTCCGAAATTTTCTGAATTCGGGTGAATCAATTTCGATTTGTAAGATTGTAATCTGGCAACCCTGGAAGAATTTCGTTCGTTTTTGTGTACTCAAAAAGTTCATACACTCTAGAATCGGTCAGTATGTCCGGTCGGCCGTTTACATGAGGACTTTAGAAAGGAGAGTTTGATCATGATGAAATTTTTTATACAGTTTAGTCTTAACAATGTCTCGATCGAGTTCGAAGATGAGCAGAATCCGTCACAAAATGGCTGAATTATCGAAAAAAATTGTCGTTATTGACCAGACCATCCCTAAGGGTGGGCACAGGGATTTTTTTCCTAGAATTCTTCACAACAATTATAAATCGACTTAGTTTTTAACGGTGATTCCAAATCTGATATTAGTATTGAACCAAATCGTAGCTTTCTAACAAAACATCGCCTGAAAAAAGTGTAAAAAGGCATAAAAACTGCATGGAGAATGCAAATTCCCTACATGTCTCAGTGGATAAAAAAACAAAGTGAATATATCTATTCACTTTTTGAAGTACACATAACACTCGGATTTAAATCCGATGTTTTCACATTTATTGTTTTTTACTATCAGCCGATAAACGGGCAGCTTTGTCGGTCAATCACCAACGAGCCGTTTACTTGTGTATAAATCTAGTCTTGTTAATCTTTTGTCCCTGAAAATAGAGGTTTTTCAATCTTGGATTAATTGAATAGGATATACCCATACCCGTAAAGTTTATCTTCTCAGTTTTAATTTTTCAAAGCTTTTTGTCATTACCACATCTTTATTCTAGACATATACATACTGCTAGAAACAAGTCTCAGAAACAAGAAACACTTTTAATCTTTGTATGATAAGTTTTGCTGTTTCTATGTTATAGAAGTTTCATGTAATTTCTATAAGGTTTCTTATACACATGGAGTTGGACTCTTGAAGTCTTATAGAGTCTCAACAAGTCCTGAAAAGTCTTTGAAGTCTCTTGAATTCTAATGAAGTCTCATAAAATCTTTTGAAGTATGCTGTTTTCCCATTGTCCACATTCACATCCGCATTCACTCACACCCACACTCAACAACTGAAAACTTCATCGTCGAAACAAAAAAAATAGGACACACTAGTATTTTTCTGACTAAATATATGCCAATAAAAAATAAGCAAAGTAAAGAGCATACAATCAATCAGATGTAATTCAATATATTGTATTCGATTAAATGTTAGTCAGTAAAATCGAAAGAAATTTGGTCTGTTTCTCCATCATATCTTTCTCGCTCAAGACAAACATGATCGATGGCAGCTGCATCTGACAACATCGTACGCCATTTACCTTTCAAATAATCGTTTGAATGTATTGTCAATGGTGGTACATAAAGAGTATGTTTTAATGGAATTTTAAATGCTGTTAAATGTAATTCACTTTCATTTTGATCAGCAAATTTACCTAATATAAAAAAGCCACTATTTTCTTCAAATGGACAATCGAGATGAGCAAACTCATGCTTCTCTAAACCTGCTCTTCCCTTAACAAAATCACGATAATAATTCTCATAATAAGTAAAATCTTGAATGCAATGACGATGAAATAATGATACTTTCATGTGACTCTCATTAGCCAGACAACATCCATAATAGGATAATTTGTCATTTGTTCCAACTTCAATTGGTAAACGTATATCAACAAAATTCTTTGGAAACACCAGCCTACCTGATTGAGATTTTGGATCGGAGCCTTTTATCCAACGAATACCTGGGATTTGAATAAATTTTGGTTTTATATCTTGTAGTATAATATCGGACCATGCGATAAGATCAACGAGACTATACTCTCCTGGTAAAACATCTTTAACTCCGTCTGCACCAACCATAACTAATTTACCCGTTTTACCATCACGCTTGAAATTGTTAAATTTTTCCCATCGCTTATTGATTAATTGTGAAATACCACCTAATTCACATTTACCTTCTTTATCAGCTTTTAAGAATGCTGATAGAAGATCTATTTCTGATTGAGTATGTTTTTCTTTTTCTGCTTTTACCATTTCTTCATAATATTGATAAAATTCTTGAAATGTCATTTTATTTTTATCTTTATGAGCGATATCTTGAAATAAAGCACTCGCATCTTGATGGTTCATTTCTATATTTAATCTTGACAAAAATGCTTTAAATTCTTCTAATGTCAGAATGCCATCACGATCCACATCAATCAGCAAGAAAACAGCTTGAAGTTTTCCTCGAATATCAGATAATTTTTGTTCAGGAACACTTTCTGGAATTAAACTCGATTCTTCTGATGTGTTATCAAAATGTTGAAATACAGTAACGCTATTCTCAGATGCACGAGGTTCTCTTTCTAACGTGGATTCAATCAGTTTTTGAACAACTAAATAGACACAACTGCAATAAAAATTAATTAAATTCATCCTAAATTAAGTTTGGTTATAGATATTGATGTAGATATGGGAGAAAAGAAGATTAACAGTTACATTCAAGCTTATACCCAGCGGCAATCATACCGTTTTGTCTATGAAAACTGCGATCATGCACAAATTGACGAATTTCGCTCGACAACATCTAATTTTACACAGAACTACTATATAAGCTGCAGATTTATTCTGTTTAAATAAATTATGCGAAGGAGAAACAGAATGCTGTGTGTCGAAAATTATTTAAACTCTTGCAAGTGTATCTTGCCAAATGACAACATCACATATATCGCATCAAGTGACGTCTTTTTTTTTATTGTAGAAAGATATTCAAGATTATTAATAAATCTTAATAGTAGCCAGAAGACAATACATTCAGCAGTTTTTGTGAACGTTGACTTTATCAGATATGTCATATCTCGAGACACAATTTGTAAAAAGAAAATTTTCAGATCAGCCGATGCAATCTCATCGGTTCAGACTAGTACCCGGTATTGATGGTCTAAAATGTGGGCTGATTTCACCTCTGTTCTCCGAATAAACCATGGATACACGTTAAATAAATGTATCAACGTGTTAAATCTAATGTATTCGTGTTATTAGCGATGGGTAACATGCTTCTGTCATTCAATTGTTCTTTTCAGTAACTAATAGCTATCAAAATTTCAATTTGTTAATATCAAAAACTACTGATCATTTGACACACGTGGAGACGAGTTGGTCCTAGAGGACATTTGCTGGCACATTGTTACTTAAATTTTTGGTCGAAACATCACAATCATAATTGAAATTAGCATCAGTATTTGGATCGGTGCTGAAAACTAAGTCGAACTATATATCTTAATTGTTTCTAAACTAATTGTATTCCTGCAAAAAAAAATAGCTTACAAGATCATTCTGTATGGTCAAAAATAATGATTTATCGATAAATATTGTTTATGCCAATAGTATTTTATCGTTCAGCATCTATTGAAATAGGATAGGTCGCTTACTCTACCTCGCAGAGTAAATAGCGTTTCCCAGAGAGATCATCTTTTTAGTGATCTTTCATCGGTATGTCATGTGAAAGGAATGGATAAAAATTAGATGCAAATAGGTGTTTTTTGCTAATAAAAATCGATTATAATTTTATCTATTTGAGCAACGATAATTAAAGAATGAGACAGCATCAATGGATGTCCACTGCTCAACTATAATGTAGATGTCAAAGGTATATTGGATGTTCCAATACTATTATTGGATATGAATATATCAAAAGATCAGTAAAAAACTACATTTCTAGCTCAAAACTCGACAAGAACACTTTTTTAGTTACCCAGGATTGAATTTAATTCAAATATAGTGCGAATGGTACGTATTGTAATTTGACCTGTAGACGTCTTCTAATATGGATATCACAAGAATCATTTTGTATCAAACAAAAATAGATTTCTCAGAATCCTCTGAAAGACATAGATATCGATTCAAACTTTAGAAATGGCGCAAAATTAAATGTTAGTTTCAATTGAAATCTTGACTTTATAACACAAAATCGACTAATTATTGGCTAAAACTATACCAAAATGTACCAAGATATGGTAAAAAAGAGATAGTTTTGTAGTTACTACAAATAGACCATTGAAGAGCAAAAATCTAGTATAGTCATGCATTTACTTATCAAATAATCAATATACATTGATGGAGTGCACTCATGATCGTGATTCTGATTGATGTAGATGGAAAATCACTATAAAAGAAGTCATCGTATCCAGTTTTGCATCTTCAACACGAATTTGATCTTAGTTATTCGAACTTTCGAAGACATTGTGTGATGTTAAGGGATGCTATGGATGGTCACTACATAGAATAGACTATTGTAGTTCATGGAAAGTTGACGCTCAAGTTCTCTCTCATTAACGAACGAATATCACAAGATGTGTCTTAGTAAGATATATCTCTGATAAAAAATTAAAAATTTGACACTTTATGTATTGCTCAAGAAAATTATAAATACCTCCATCACACAATATGATATTTCTCAAACTATATGTAGTTTTAGATATATATCATTTTGTTCGCTCTACACATAACTCAATTGAATAGAATAAATTTGTGGATTATTACGTAGTTCTGCATGAAAGGAGTTATTGCCAAATGGGCATACCCTCTCGGTAGTAGTTTTAGGAGTCATAAAACACTTTTAAAATCCATTCTAAATTACATTTTTATAGATAAATCCAAATGACTTTCTATTTTCGATATATCTATGCATTGACGTGACTGTTCATTTGAGAAAACAAAATCGAAAAAAAGGTTTTTGTCTTCAGCGATCTATGTGGAAAATAGGATGGTCCTCTCATGAGCCCTCTCTTAAGTACTCAACAATCCGGTATAGTTTCATTCAACTATATGCTTATCTATTGATAAACTTTCTCTTCACTTACATGGTAATTTAATTACTTGGTTAGGTTCCAATCGATCAAAACCTTTCAATTCTGGATTTGCTGCTTTCATTTGATCTAAACTAAATTCATTCTTTTTCGCAATTTCAGTTAACGTGTCACCAGGTTGTGCTTTATAGTATATTGACGTGGACAATGATGACGGTGTCGTTGATGATGATGCCAATGAAATTGAAGCAAAACCTTTTAAAATACCTTCGATCGTTAAGTTTCGTTGAAATTCTTTGTTTTTGAACAGTTCATTTGTGATAGGAGAACGATCATGTGTTTTAAAATATTCCAGAATATTTTCTTTTTCATACGTATAACCATCGGATGCAACAACTACAGAAATATATGTTCTTTATACTCTTTTACAAGCGATATTGTATCATTCTTACCTGGAACTTTGAGCATTTCTCCCGACAATGGACAAATTAGAGAGCGAATGAAGTTGTCATCATTCAGTACAATTGTGGCATCTGACTTGCCACTTGTTGATTTCTTTATATGATCACGCGTGTGAACTCGCTTCTCTATACAACTTTGCCGTGAAAATCGATCTGATGCTGTTTTTGCTTCCTTTTGTTGTTTTAAACTATTAATATGTTGAACAAAATCTTGATTTCCTTTTTCATTGGCAATATCGATGATGGATTTATCATCATTAGTGAGCAAGCTTAAATCAAATTGATTTTGTTGATTAAAATCATCAAATGCTTTTCGATCGCCTTTGTATGCAATATGATGAATGAAATAAAATTTACGATAAGGAGGCTTTTCATTAATAATATCGGGCGTTTTATTCAATATATATTTGCACACTTCCCATTTTCTCCCTTTTGCATTATTGAGTAAATCATCCATCACTACTAAGCGTTCAATCCGTTTATACATTGCTTCATTTTTTATCATATTATCTCGGGCAATATCCAACACAGTTACATTATCACCTGTTTTCGATAATAAACGAAAATTTGGATTGCCTGTTTGGGACACAAGTAGTCGATTTAAGCGGTCGACATTTCCATGATACACTATCTGATGTATAATTGCCCATTTTTTCCATCAGGTATTTTTGTTAACCATTCAGGATGATTAATAACACCTTGTTCAATTGTTTCAAAATCCATGTTTCGATATGCACGCATATAGAAATCATCAATACCCATTGCATTGATACGTTTGAAGCGTTCTGTCATGTTATCTTTTATATTTCTGAAAAACTTTACGAGAATGTAATCTACAAAAACACATTGTATCAAGATACAGCAGAAAGCTAGTGAAAAACTATACGCTAGCAGTGAGTGTAATTCTGAAAAAACTAATACATGCATATCTTATTGTTATTATTTCACAGCGCAGGCAAACTTCCTCATCAAGTGCATCCTAACATGTTTTTCTTTGTTCTCTGTTAAAAATATACTTTGATCAAATTTATTGTTTGTCCTTCAAAACAAGCACATTGCTGTTGTCTAAATAATATTTTTCTTTCTCTACATCAAAGTAAAAAGCTGCTGGTTTTTATATAGTTTCATAGTCGATTAGCATTGGTGAATTACCTTCTATATTTACTCATAGGAGTCATCATATACACGACAGATGTATTATTGCAATTTGGATTTTTCTTTACAATATTATGTTAATATTTAACTTTTAACAGACTAAGGAAATTTTTCTTGTAACTGAAGAAGGATAAACTTTAAAATAGAGCTGATGAATTTGCAATGTGAATGTGTGACTGAGGTATGACTGTGGCAGTGACTTAGAGTAGGATGTGTATCGGCGTCAGTGTTCACTTGCGCTTAATGCTTCATACTATCGTGAATAGTGAAAGTTATCCTGTTAGAATGTCAAGATGTTAATTTACAAAAAAGCTGATTCCAAAGGATGAATTAAAAAATGGTTTGAAGAAACTGATAAAAGAATTGAGTCTACTAGAATTTTCTGCAGTTCATCAGACTTTGTCAGCATGTATGATGGTCAGCTAGGGTCTGCCAGAGTCTACAAGGATCGCGATGTAGGTAGCTCGATAGAACTCACGCCATATCATTCTCTGTGTGACAGAAACCAAGCGACTTTCATAATCCCTCAACATGTGAGTGTCGAAGAAACCGAATAGACGCTGCTACACAGTAGCTGATCAATGCAAGACTTAGTTGATCCTCTTCGACTCTGGTAGCTCCTAGTATATTCAACAGATTGTACTAGGTCTTGCGAGCCATTGTAGACTCAGCAGACCAGCATAGAACTTGATCGATCTTGCAGGATCTCTTAGGCCCTCTAGATTCAGATAGATTTTGATGATCTTTAAAGACACTAATCACTCTTGCAGATCCTCGCAGACTTCTATAGAACTTCGAAGCCCTAGTAGCTGCTGGTAGACTTCGAAGATCCTAGTAAATCCTACAGATCTAGTATATGCTTGTAGATACAGCAGACGATGATTGATCCTCGTATATTCTGTCTGGTCTTATAACCACTGGTAGACGTTGGTAGAGTCTGGGACTGCCACGCATGCTGCAGGTTCTAGTATATCCTGTAGATATTGATAGATCTTGTCAGACGTAACAGGCTTGGTAAACTCGGCAAACCCTGGTAGAATCTGCAGATCCTGGTACTTTCTATAGGGATCTGAAGATCTCGATATAATTCAGTAGATCCTGCAGACATTAGTTGATTGTGCACACATTGATAAACTCTGATTCTCAGAGTTCTTAGTAGCATTTAGATCCTTCTGTTTTGTCAATGATTTCGTTTTCGATTAGGATTAGTATTTTTTGAGCGACATTGTAATTCATTTACTTCATACAATACTCTCTAGTTTTGCAACCTCGGAAAGTGAAGAAAGTATTCTACGCATTATTATGGATTTGTCCTTGCTAGAAGCTTCTAGAACTGATTATTATCTATAGCACTTTGACTAAGAGACTTTGACCTTCGTCAGCGCAGATCGGTTCATGATCGCAAGCCACTGCACTATTATCATTACTCGCACAGGCAGTTAACAATTGTTTCTGTATTCTTTCTGTCCAAGATTGCATTCAATTCGTAGTTCAATTGTACGAATGATTAATTTTGTCTCTTCACTAACGAGAGAACTCAGGAGTTAGGTAGGAGAAAAAAAGAAAATTGATTGTTCGCATTGTCTTGGAGCTAATCAGGTAAGATCTCCAATTGATCCATACCTTTTAGCGTCATATTTTCTCCATAGGCAGGAGACTTAGAGAATAGAAAAGTCTAAGAAGGTATGAATCCATGCTGCGATTTGACTGTAATCTTCAAGATATACTTAATATTTCCTACGGAGGTCTGATTTTTCAAAAAAATCATCTTTTCGACTTTTGTCTTGAAACTTAACCCACATAAACCTCTAAAATACACTACTCTTTTGGAAAAGCTGCTATCACAATCTATTGCAGGATTAAAAAGGTGCAACAAGATGTAGCTTCTATTATCGGTGTTCCACAAGCTGTTGTTTTTTATGCATATTCGGGTGCATTCCTTCATAATACTTTACTCTACATTCTAGCACTTAAATAGGATAACACCTCATATATGGTCGAATCATTTGTTACTTATGCATTATGTCTTATCTTTCCTTGAAATCTTCTATCCCATTCTATAATGATCCCCGAATCCTGTCTATCACACTCTGTGGAGAGGGAGGATGCACACTTCTCTACCCTTAAACACTTCAACACTCCTTTAAGATCGTGTTTCATAAAAATTTTAGAACTTTTCATCATGATATTTTTTAGAAAGAAGTTTTCCAAAATATAAATACTTTTATTATTGCAAAGAATAGCCTACTGGAGAGTTTTATGTAAGCAAAGTTTCAGATCACAGTTCGAAAATACGATTTTGCTGAAAAGTCAGAATCTTGCAGGAAATTTTGAGTAAAACTTCAATATCTCAGCGCAATCACAGCATGGATCCATATTCCCCATATCTTTTTCTATTCTATAGGTCCATTACTTATGGGAAAAACATGGAGAGAAAAGCAATAGATCATTTGAGAACCTTCTCCTGTAATTATATAACATTCAAAATAGTTCCATCTGCCGTTCGAACGTTTTTTATCCTTTACTCACCATAAGAAAAAAAATTTAAACCGAAAATTTCTATATAATTTCGTTTGTGTCGTGCTATATATGGGTATTTTTACGACTTAAAAAGCTGCATCGTTCTTTGCATGATTCTTTTCTTTTATGATTACCGTGGCGAATGTTTTTTTTTGTTTCGGTTCTCTCTGCTTAGTCTAGCTGTTTTTCATTTATCTTAAAATAATATTTGACTATGCGCCCTATCAAAAGAAAAAGGATGTGCATAGTGTCACATTGATATTTACAAGCATGTGTAGAAGAACATTCTAAAAAGAAACGTGCAATAATACAGCCTAAAAAAAAAACTTATTAGTTTTATAAATTTATGACCGTGCAAGGATTTATTAGTTTCACATATCCAAAAAGTATTTATGAAAATAAGATGTATTCAAAAAGGGATTTATACAAACAATAAACCTTTTTCTTGGATTTATTACTTTATGTTCCTTTTTTTGTGGTGAATGATGTCAAAGAAAAAATCAAATCAGATGCAATCAATGAAACTTATGTCTAATCGAGTAAGCAAGTCTCTATTTAGTTGTTTATAATGTGAAATAAATCGCTATTTAATGATTCAAATCAAGGTGTGCATGGATATATAAAACGTTTTGTTTTCATTGCTGCAAAAAGATATTTAATTGAGAATATCAAAAAGAAAGAGTATTATTACAAATGAAAGAATTTACTTTTACAGAAAATTTGCAAATGTAATTTCTGTAATGACTATCTTCATGATGGATTCTACTGACATTGTGTCATTACATATTATTACTATTTAATATTGACATAGATATACTATACTATCGACGTTTTTTTTTTGATCCCATTGTATGCATAAAGACTTTTTATAAATAGTGAATTGATATTTTGTCATATGATGCCGTCATTATGCATTCGTTCTGTTAGTTTTCGTCTATATTGACATAAATGAAAACAAATTCTTTAGGTATCAAACATATTCCGTTTATGCTGGCATACTCATCTTAAATAAAATACAGAAGTAAATGAGCGAATTTACAGTGAAATATTCTCTCTACCTTGGTTCTAGTTTGAGGATATATTTTCCTCGAATTAAGGAAAATTGCTCACAATCTAGAAGATACTGATCCTTGAGAATATATAAGAAGAAATAGAACATTTTGATCAATATTTGCTTTTATTTATCATTT